GCCGCTGTCGTGGCGGCCATCGTGGGAAACCCATATCGTGTGTTTCTGATAAGAGAAGGGGAAGCATTTGAGGGAGCCCCCCCCCCCCCCCCCCCCCCCCTCCCCCTCCTGCGTCGCGTTCTCGTTTCGTCTCCCGCCGCAATGATGCCAAGGTACCTGAGCGACGTGGAGGAGGGTGGGGAGACCATCTTCCCGAGGTACGGCGGCCGCACCGGCCGCGTGGACTTCTCGGACTGCACGACCGGGCTCAAGGTCAAGCCGGTCGAGGGGTGAGAGTGGGTGTAATAGGGTAGGTGGGCCAACGGCAAAAGGCCTTGTTTTGGAGAAAATTTCCGATTTGGAATCCCGATTCTACGCCTTTTACATCCAAACCCACAAGAGGCGGGGGGACATCTGCGCACTTGGCGGGAAGAACACACGAACGCGCTTTGACACTCAGTACTGCCTCGCAGAGACCCGTTTGCAATGAAACCTTCGAGGCCGCACAGTGCATTGCTGTGAGCCTCTTCGAGCCAAGTGGGGAGTTGGGGTGAAGTGTGTGTTCATCATGCTTGGGAAAATTGGAATTCCAATTTGGCACTCACTGCCCCCCCCCCCCGGTTCCCAACCGGTACCGCTTGCTGCTGCTGTTGCTGATTTTGTTTTTGTGGAATCCCTTCACAGAACGGCACTAAATCGCCCCGTGTTAGTGTTTTGTGTGTCTCAGATTTGGTACCGTAATGGCTGCCTAACCACTTTGCTTTCCTGTTTTTCCCTTTCCTTCGTGATAATCCCTAAAATTATTTTCCAGGAAAGTTGCCATGTTCTACTCGTTGAAACCTGACGGGCAGTTCGACGATTTCAGCCTTCACGGGGCTTGTCCTGTCATTACCGGTGAGATGGACAAAGACACAGACACAGGAACAATCTCGTGTTTTTTAACATCTTGTCTTGAACCCCACATGTTTCACCCTCGATCTTTTCTTGTTCCATCACCTTTAAGTCAGCGGTTGTGGCATTTCTGCCGGGGACGAGTTTTATTGCAAGTGCGAAACGCGCATTCGGCTTGGAACCTATGATGATAGCCGGCACGCGGGGTCTTCATGTGACTTGATTGTCGTGCCGTCAGGCGTGTCAGCACTCCGGGTCGGAGAGCCAATATGTACTATACGAGTCGCACTCTGATGTCACACCACACATCAAGACACACTAGAGAGCAACGACCGAGACAAGTGTAAAACGTGCTCGTCAATACAGCATGATGGTTGGGGGGTGGATGTGTATCCAAGCAAATTACGATGGTATCCCTTCTTATAGCATCCACTTTGCTGGAGGAACAGACAGAACAAGACGGGGTTGGCGATGCTTGTAGCAGTCGAGCGTTTCATCGTGTCTCCAAATTGGCGTTCGATTTCATATTTTTTTGTCCGAGTCTGAGAAGAGGACGTTTCCCAACTCCGAGACCCCCCACCGGAACCGCCCACCTCCCTCGTGAAGGGGTGCGAGCTCGTTCGATTGACGTTAGTTGTCCTGCCATGCTCTTAGTAGATCATTACTACTGGTACCATTTTCTGCTTGTCCTGCTGTAGTAGCACAGAGTCCGCTGGTCCTCCATTCCTCGTCGCGTGGCGCGCCCTCTCTCGCTCCGCCAGGCATGACACGGCATGGCACGGCACGGAACACCCCGTCCTCCTCTCCTACTGTATACCCGCCCTCACTGCTGCTGTTTCCGGATGCTGAAACGTTAAATTGTGATATCGTCGGCAACCCTGCTGCTGCTCTGCTGCTGCTGCCTCACAGGTCAAAAATGGGCCGCAAACAAGTGGGTCTGGTCGGCACCGGTGAAGGTGAGCACAGCAGAAACGGTCAGTCACGCTGCCGTCCTCTGACTCCTTTGTACTCATCTGCCTTGTAGGCCCTCTTACGAGTCACGCTCGTTATTTGTAGCTCGTGTAGCTTGTATATTTGGTCAAGCAAAGGTGCTGCGGTGGTAGTAAGCAGGCAACGTGTCGAACCCTGTCCCCTTCCTCCCTCTTGTTCCGTTTGTTCTTGTCCAGTTCGGCTGATGGGCTGGTGGATGGATACTGCTCAAGGACTGGTGGGGGCGAGACTTGGGCACACCATGTTCCGTCGTGAACCGTTTCGGATGCTCCGCACGGCAACAGCTGCCGACGACGGGGAGGGGGGGGGGGGGGGAGGGTCAGCTGCCGATAAGTAATTTATTGTCGGGGGAGCGCAGGTCCCGAACGTGATCGATATCTATCTCTGGACGGATCGCGATCTCGCCCTGTCTGTCCCTGCCCGTGCCGTGGTAGGGGTGAAAAGGACGGTGTCTTTGGGTGTGGAGGAGCCGAGGTTCGGTGCGTCTTCTGGTTGACGTTGATTCAGTTGTTTTGCTCGCCTTTTGTATTTTGTCGTTTGGCAGTATCCGCGTGAATTTTTTGTGTTGTCAGCCAGCCGCTCTGTCGTGTAGCGAGCGCTCTGTAACGTTACCGTGAGTGATTTTTCTCAAAAGCGGTCGTGGGTACCCAGAGCCCGCCCTTTTGAGTTGTGTATTTGTGAACGATTCAGTAAAGTGTTTCGTTCGAAGACGGTGAGGTGGTGGGTATTTTCCTGGTTCGTCTTCGCAACAAGCAAAATATACCGGTAGTCACGTAGAATGCTTGTTGTGTGCTCTTCCCAAATATTCGTCTGCTGCCCTTCATTTTTAACTGCTACCGCCGTGTGCCCGACTTGCCTTGTCAACCTGTAAATCGGAGTTTCATTTTTTTGTTCGGGCGTACTTTTTGTCTGGGTTACTCCTGCCCATTTAGCGTAGTTTAGCTCATTGTGTGGAGATACAAGTGACTGCTTTTGCTGTCCTATAGAAGGTTCGATCAGGTTGACAGCGCAAGTAGGGACTGTGATTACCCCCCCCCCCCCCCCGCAACATATTCGTTGTGTCCCCCCCCTGCGGGTAACACGTCACGGAATGTAGTCTATTATGATAATTCCCCCCCTAGAATTCAACAATTCTTGAGAGACTACCGGTACGCCCATCAAGACTAGGCTGTACTATGACCGGTAAGCGACTACGTGCTTGCGCGTGATTCCAGTTGCGCCTCCGTACGCGGCCTTGGCAATATTTTTTTTTTTCATCCATCCTTGGGGGCTTGTGCGCCCCACCTGTTTCGCCCGCGAGCCCCCCCCCCCCCGTTTCCTCCGGCTAGTTTTTCGTGCAGCGGAACTTTGCCCCCCCCCCCATCCCCTTGGCCCTTGCGTAGAGTTGTTGCAGGCAGGCCTCGGGGAGGGAGGGAGGTTGTAGGTCTCAATAGACACAAGTGCTGGACTGCGTTTGTTGGGAACCTCCTCGCCTGTGGTAAATCAAGTGTGAAGAGTGGTTGATAGGTTGCACATAGAAAGGAAGGGAGAGAAGGCATGTGTGTATGTCCGTGGGACTGAGGTTGGCTGCAGCGCCGTTCGTTGTTGCCGGCTGAACACCCACCCACCCACCCGCTGCGCGAACGGAGCGCGGTGTTTGGGAGGTCTTCATGCCATGCGTGCTTCGTGCATGAATCTGCGGGGCGCGACCCGGCACGTGGAGGCTCCGGCCTCCATCCACTGTTGGCTCCTTTGACCCCGGGGGAACGAACAAGAATCAAGAATAGGCAGGCACGCAAATATCGGAATGTGGTAGTCCAAAAACTACAACGATCACTTGCGAGCTGGTCCGCCCTTAGCTGCTTTTGCTGGTGGGGATAATATCTCTCTCTTTTGAACGTACGTTCGGTCGCCCATTTCTTCAGGAGATACAGCAGTAGATGATGTATCATAATCGAAAATTAACGGCACCATCGTCATGCGGCATTCATTCAGTTCCCGTGGGGTTAGATGTTGTACATACTAAATATCTAGATGAATGTACGTGCGCGTAGCATCGCGTAGCATCGCGTATCTACGGGTATGCCTAGGTGTTGGCGTTCTTCGGTGCGTGCAGCGGACCACCACTCACTTTGGTGACCCTCCCTCGCCTGTCGACTTGTTTGTAGTGTAGGGTGGGGTTCTAAAACACACCACCACAAGAGCTCGGAACATGGAGTGGCTGCTGCGCGTTCCGTGCCACATGGAGGCCGACCAACAGCTGCCCGGGCCGTACGTTGGTGGAAGGAAAAAAGAAAGGCAAAAAATCGCGCATGCTACAAGAGGCGAGGGACGGGAACACAGATGCATGCTACTACATTGACGTTCTGTTTCGTTCGTGCCATCAACGACGAACTCCGCAAAAACAATTGTGGCAGTTGTTTCCTCTCCGTGCACAGCAACTAGGGTAGCTGTACGCTGCAGCTTCGCGATGAAGTTCACCGTTTGTTTCCGAAAAAATTGGTCACCACCAAAAACTGGTGGCAGCAGCGGCCGTCTTCACCAACGCCAGAGGAGAAACAACAAAAATAGATCTACCAAAAAAAGAAAAAAAAAAAGAGAGGGCGGACAAAATTAGAGTAGAAAAGAGAATCAATCGCCTATTGTAGCCTATCCTGGCAAGAAACATTTTGCTGTTATCCCGCCCCCCAAAAATCACCAGCAAAAGGGTGTGTGGCAGCTGCGCTATTTATGAAAAGAATGTGGATCATGAAAAGGAAACAAAACCATCACACGTGCAAATCATGTCTACGGCGGCTCAACCCGCTCTATATCTTCTGCCAGCCCACTCCGAAGCGTGTGTGGCACCAGAAACGGCGAGTTACCACGGAAACACTTCTAGAACAGAAAAACCTCCGTGTCTACGACTTGATCGTCATTGTTCCTTCCCTCTGCTCGCCATTTGTGGCTGGAATGCATCCACGAATGCTTGGTCAAAGTGTGTGCAACCAAACACGTCGAAGGACGCGGGCGTTCGCCACGGACTGTTGGAGGGGGGGGGGGGGGCTACATCTTGGCAAGTCACTAGAACGTCAGTAGGCGCCGCGCGACCGACTGTTTAGGCTCTGGATCGTCGGGTGTTCTGCACGCCGTCAGTGCACAGCACTCCCTCCTGAACATGACGATAGAGTTATAGTGTTTCCTTCCCCCACCCGACATAGCATCTTCCAACTGGCTACGTAGCCTCGGCCTGCTTCCAGCCCTCTGTTCACGCGCACCATGACTGTAGTATGTCTCTTTGTAATTGACCTGAACGCGTTGACGATCATTTGGTACCCAAAATCTCGCAAATTATTCGCCGAGAAGACACTTCTTTTTTCCAGCGTAGACGGATGTGTACCCCCTTCGGAGAACCCACCCATCGCCCCATGCCCCCCGCCCTCACCCGCAGCATAACCAAGGCACACCTGACAAAAAACAAAACAAAACAAGTATCCGGCCATCGCCCCTCATACGCAATGAGCCGACACAATTCACACAAGAAAAACAAAACAAAACAAGGCCACCGGCGCGCAACACGCAGCCCGTTCCCTTCTTGCCAGCCCGCAGCACAGCATAGCCCCGCCCGCGTCCTCTCATCATCTAGAAATGTTGGGGGTGGATTTCATCCCCCCCCACCCCCCATCGCCCAAACGCGTGCCCCCCCACCCCCCCTAACTTCGAGCTGATCGTAGATCACTCAATCTGGAAGACCGTCCTGTAGGCGGAGGTGATGCTCTCGATGCTGAGCAAGATGATCATGGCGTGCGGGGCGCAGCGGCCGTAGTAGGCGGTGAAGCCCGTCCAGAAGGCGAGCGGCCCCTCTTTCCGCAGGATGCCCGACGCGCAGTCCGCGAGCCCCTTGTAGGGCATGTTGCCCTTGCTGTCGGGCTTTTGGTCCTGTTTTCGTCATCGCCGTTTTTGTCGTTGGTGGTGATACAACGATACAACAGGCATGTCGTGTCGTGCGTCCAATGCCAGAAGACAGGGCCGCACCGAGGATAGAGGGAAGAAGGGAGAGATCGGCGAGGCGGGGGGGGGGGGGGGGGGGGGGAAAAA